TCTGGACCTGGCCATGCATTACAGGGCCGGGAAGACTGTTTAGTGTTAAATAATGTTAGAAACAATGAAAATTTTCACCATGCTGCTTACAAACAATATGTACTCTGGCAACATGAAAAGATAAGGAAGTGGGAACAGGAGAATGATTCCAAGCTGTTGTGTTACAGCAATACGGAAACAATATCCTTTCCAAATGGGATATACTCTGGGTATCAACCTGCTAGATTGTAAATATTTGTTGCACATGTTGTTATTATGTTATTGATCATTGAGGAAAACTTTATTATTTCATTAAACCATTTTCCCGCAATTATCTCCCCATGACAGGGAGGATCATTTTAAATATTTTGAAAGAACTTGGGTAATTCACACCTGCATACATGTTAAGGCCCATTCACACAAGCGATTTTAAACTGTGATTTTCTCCTTTCGGCATACAGTATGTGATTTCCAGTAGCAAAATTACAGGAAATATTACTTTGCATGGCTTAGCTCATATACTCGTTGTGATTATTCACTCTAACACATGCACCAAAAGAAGAAAATTGCAGTTCAAAATTGCTTGTGTGAACTAGCCTTTATAGCCCCATTGCTTCAAACTTATTTTAAGCTTTATCTGTATACTAAACACAGCAAATTCTGCTAACAAATGAAAGCCTTTATCATGTTAATTGGTTAAATCTTTATGGACAGTAATATTTCATTTTATAAAAGACAAGTTATCAAATGCATTGGATGTTCCAGCACAACATTTGATACTGACGTTGATATTTTTATTCTTTAAACATCAGCCTGACCCACTAGTTGGGTCCAGGAGTTTGTATAATCAGACTTTTCCTTTTCCAAGGTGGACTGCCTTTCAGGGATTATGAGCTCCACCTACCCAGCAGTTTTAAGTGCCAGATACTTGTCTACAGCGATCATTTGAATCTTAAGACTAATGGGTTTCAACAAGTTCTTTGACTGAAGGAGGAGGGACAGGGGCTATGTTAGGGGCACTTTGCCTTCGGTCATCACTTCCAATACCAATCCCCATACCTAAAGAAGACTTACAATTAATTTTATTCCTGTTTAAATGCACATTAGTGCCTGCTGAGCAATGTGTTTTAAAAGCACTTAATCAAGCCAAATTTTGATTTTATTACTGCATGTTCATTCAAATCAAAATTTGGCTTCCAAAAAAGCATTTAAGTGCTCTAATTAATGCTCTAAACATATCAATCAGCAGGTGCTACTGTGCCCTTGACATGCTTACAGAGTGATCAAAAGATTTGTTTGAAAATGTGATAAGAAAATGGATTTCACAATAAAACCCCAAAGTCATATTTTTTCTCACCAGGATTCAGGAAAGCATAAAATGTTATACATACCTTTATTGTAAGAAGTTGTATAATGTGTTCGTACTGCTTAGGAGTATTAAGAATCTTTACATCATTCCATCACTGTTTCTCTTGCTGAACATATACTTGCTGAACATTGTCTGCATAGCTGGCAATGGCTCATGGCTGCATTGTTTCATATGTCTGCTGATCCGTCTGGGTTTCCACAGCGCTATAAGTGCACAATAAAGTTTTGTAATGACGAAATATAACAATATTAACATAATTGAAATATCCAAGGATACGGTATCTGTTATGTACTTACCACAATAAACAATTAAATCTGTCTTGATGTTTCGTATACAAGCTTGATCAGCAGAGTATTCCACCGACCAATACTACAATTTCGATGCATACCTTTTCGCGAAATATTCTTTTCGATCTCCTGGTTGGTTCTGGCGACCAGAAATGCATTAGAAGGATTTGCCTTTGAAACTCTCAAGTAGATGGTCGCGAGTCGCCATTGTCAACTTTGCTGTAGCGTGTTGAAATTGATATTTGATATGCATTTCCATTTGTAACAAGAGCTTACTTATCCAATGACTGGGGGGAATTCATATTATTTTGTATAATTTAATTTTGCCAATCCGACACCACAAAATACTTTCACGTTTAGTTTCACCGAGCAAGATACACAAGCGGCTTCATACACATCAGTTTCTATTTGATTTTGAAACAATTGCACAACGGAATAACTTATATTCGTAAAAACACACTTTAGATACATCTTTTTAGATATAAAGTTTCTTTTTTGACCGTATTTCTTGCTTTGATGTGAATATATAAGCGAGTTAAAAACAATTAGAATTTTGGCACTCCTGTGCGTCAGCCATCTTCTCTGAAATGCTATCAGTTTATAGCATTACGTAATATTTTTCTATGACAATGTTTACAAAATGTGTACACATTTGAGACATGCGCAGAATGGACTGTAACCCAGCTTTAAGGAATCATTATATCATACTTCCTGATCTGTCGTTTAAGACATTCAACATAACTACAGTTTGTTGTTGCATACATAATGGCGTAATGTACAGTCAAATTTTCCACTGATTTTACACATTTTTGAGGAATATTTTAAAAAGGCAAGTTCAAGATCAGAGGAACATTGGACACTTCTTTATTATTGACTGACTGACTGACTGGCTGGTGGGATTTCTCAACATACCTTCTTTAGTACCATAGACTTCGACTTCGCACAACGTTAGCGTTTTCTTTTCTCCTGGAATAACTATCGTCACATAACGACCAACCACCGTCGGCACACACGAGACAATACCTTCCTATGCAAAAAAGTTAATTATTATCGCGAGTATTGTAAATATAGCGACTCACGTTTTAGAAAACGACTAGGAAACAGAATTAGTAACAACTGTCTCATTAGTTTGTTTTGTTTGTATAAGATGACCAAGTTCAACACAACTTATAATCTACGTTGCTACCTCGACATTGCATGGTGAACGTACGGAACTCAAAGTTAAGCTGATGTAAATTTGGGTACTTTAGTCATGTTCTAAACCAACAAAACTGTCTGTTCATTTACCTGATTAGAAGGTATATGTTGTTGAGTTCCACATCTCGGGCTCGTAATTCCATTACTTTCCAAACTATCTCCAATCCTTATCTCGAATCCACAAAGCCGCTTACCTATTCGGTCTCTATTTACGATTTTCACGTGAGTGACTGCAATACGTTGTCGTAAATCCACTCGCCACCAAGGTGTTGTTTGTTCAGCTGTGTGGGTACACGACGAACTGCTGTAGTAGCGGTTTTTGTTTCCATCTACAGCCCTGGAAGCAATGCCTCCGTGCGTAGTTTTTGATTGTTGTGCAGGTTTGTTAAATGCAAAGTTTTCCCCTATACAAATTGAATATTACCATATACAAATATAAAAACCGTGTATTTTGAACATTTGAAACAAAACAAGACGTCATAGACAAATTTGGGTAACGTTTGTTTATACCCAATTAGCCTTTCTCACGCCGCCATTTTTGGGTGGCATTTGAGCCGAAGTCTGCGAGACGGCAACTTTTTATATATCCACATAACGGCAACTTTTTATAATTTTTTTGACGAATGATGGTAAATTTGCTTGGTAAATGGTTAGTTTATTACATTGTTTTAATTGTCTGTATTGGTTAACGAGAACTGGATGCCACCCAAAAATGGCGGATATTCGTCATCGTGAGAAAGGCTAATTCGCAACTTCAGATAATTCACATGCCTATAGTTAATAATGTTGTTCTAGTTTACAGACGGATAGATCAGAACGAAGGTAACTAAAGGCCATGTTATGCACCTGAATGCAATTTTTGCTACAACTTGCAATGCAATTTTCGACAAAGAACTATATTATTTAAAAAGTAGTTGCAGGGATATTTTGAGTATGTTATCAGTTAGCAAGGTGTCGGCCAAGTAGAATGCGGAACCACACCCACATTTCTCTGCGGCTATTCGTTATTACTATAAACCAACCACACCCATTTTCTATTGTTCTAGGTCGGTTTTGGTTTCCAACTAACGACCAGGTTCTGAAGGCTTAGCAGAAAAATGTAAGACCCGGTTTCGGTCTCACACTTGATTGTAAGCCCCGGTTCTGGGTTTTACATTTTCAATAGACCTTTCCCTTTTTGAGCGAAATTTTGCTGTAGACAAGTCTGAACAAAAATTTCATCACAGCTTGAAAGAGCATCACAAAATTAGTTATATTCCGAAGTTTCGTTGCGAAATGTTGTAAAATGCCGTTTTTCAGTTATTTTGCATTACAAACGGGAAATTGAAAATCTGTTTGATCATCTGATTATCAATTTTCCATTTGTAATGCAAAATGACTGAAAAACGGCAAAGTTCGCAAGGCTATATTATCCGCATTTTAAAACATTTCGCAACGAAACTTCGGAATATTACTAATTTTGTGATGCTCTTTCAAGCGGTGATGAAATTTTTGTCCAGGCATATCTAGATCAAAATTTCTTTCATAAGGGGAAGGTCTATTCAAGACCTGCCATAAGTCTTGAATTCGGGACTTGAATTTGCAACAAAACTCAAGCCCCACATCACAGAGGAGAGATATACAGAGAGGAAACTCACAGTCGATAACCTCAATTTTTGTGTCACGCGTACACGTTATTTCCACGCGCCACGCAAAATTTCCCAGCCAGTGCCGCCGCTGAAATTTCATAGCAAAAGCATAGCGAAAACGCCGTTCGAAAGGTGAAAATCGCTCTTTTTAAAAAATGAGATTCCAATAGAAATTTTATTCAATAAATTATTGTAGAATAACGGTAAGCGATCACTTTTATTGATATCCTTTTATTAAAAGTGTTAACACTTTACTTATTAAAAGTTTGTTTTTTTCCCTATATATACTCCTTATTAAGATCGTGAAATGAACCGGCTAGGAATTTCAGCTGCTCATGTATAAATAACAAAGCAGCGCGCGAATGATATAGATTCCTCAAAATATAACTCTCGCATGAAACACACACGAATACTTCCATAATATGTATAGTTATATTTTTCTGTATTATAAAAATTTAATAAAATAGTGAATTAATACAATTTTAAATAGTTAAATATCGGCGTGACATAATTTGCCGCGAGTTTCCTCTCTGTATATCTCTTCTCTGTGCCCACATCTCCTTTTCGACTAGAAAACGCTGCACGTCTCTGAGTCGAGAAAGGGACAACAGCCGTGTACCTCAGAGCCCGTCAAACTCTACCATTAGGCAAGAGTATGATACACTGCGCATGCAGCTTAACCAAATTAAAGCGTATGTAATGCCCATGCATGTTACACCTTATTTCGTCGCACAACCCCAACCTCTCGAGGACAATAGCAAATGTGTGTGATAGGTATTTAAAAACCTCATTAATAATTCAGGAGGAAAACACAAAGAAAAATCATAAGCGTGTCGTATCTTTATATGTGATAAAAAATCATGTTAATTTACATAAACTTTAGCTTTGATTGATCTACCGTCGCCAAACAATAGAATTGTTGAGGGATCTTACAGTCATGTAGACGAACGCCCGAATTATTTTTCCCGTTACGGCCGGAAACGCCGCCCACCGGGCTGGCAAGTCTATTTAAATTTCGTGTCACGACACACACAGAATGTACCGGAAACGTAACACACGTGCTACACCATAACTATCGAGTAAATACGGAAACAAAGCATATTCCTGTTATATCCACCACCCCTGTTGACACTAAGATAACTCAAAAACATAGATCGAGAAACCTGAATAATCTTATTGAAATCCCCTTAGAAACCCCAGTCAGAACCGCAAATATTAGGTCCAAATTTGCATATCTTCCTGCCTTTTTACTTTCAAATGTGATGTCGCTGGCCCCGAAAATTGACGAAGTGCGTGACGTCATATACAGAGGAAATTACGACTTTGTTAGTCTGGTCGAGACTTGGCTGCAGGGCCACATTCACGAGAACGTTGTCGACATACAGGGATATAACCTTATTCGCAGAGACAGGTGCGAACGTCAACATGGCGGGGTCTGCATATATATTAAAGATACCATAGAATTTTCAGTGTTGGATGAATTATTTGACAGCTTATTCGAAGTATTATGGATTAACACGCGTCCAACCAGACTGCCGAGGGGATTTACTAATTTGATTGTTGGAACAGTGTATCACCCACCAAGTGCGGAAAATGCAGCTATGCTGAATTATCTATCAAACTGCTTATCAGTAACGGAATCGCCTTTCCCTAATTGTGGCTTTATTATCCTTGGTGATTTTAATAAACTTAATACCTCACGTCTAAGAACTGGGAATGGTTTAAAACAGCTTGTCAATTTTCCAACCCGCGGAAACAATACCCTTGACATTGTTTTAACAAATCTTAACGCATCCTTTGATCAACCTACTAAGTGTGCCCCCTTTGGGTTATCAGACCATATGTCTATTGAGGTGAGACCAGTCGAGCGTCGTAATATCCAAGAAAAGTCAAAACTTACGGTAAAAACGAGGGACATGCGGCCTAGTTCCCGTCTTGCAATGCGTAAATACCTTGAGCTTGTAGATATCCCAGAAATGCTAAGCAGAGTTGATTCTTGTTTATTTTATTTTTTATTTTTATTCATTTATTTCGCCCAATTTTCCAAAGTACAATAAAATTTAACTATTTACATTTTTATAATCTATACGTAGGGCTAGAGATCTTTTAGAAACCCTTTTGGGCTTTTATTTTAAGACCACTAGTTATATCAAAACATTTTTTACTTATTATAATTTCATAATGTCATAAAAATAGTACATAATATAATAACGAAAATATATACAATTGTGAGAGTGTTTAAAGGAAAGTTAGTCTATTTACAAGATTTTTCAGATTTTTTAAACTTTATACATTAAAATAGGATGATTAATTAGCTGATTAATGGCGTGATATAAAGTATGTTTTCACATTTTTTTTGAAAACCATATATGTCCAATATTTTTTAACTCAGTACTTAAATTATTGCAAATGTCAATACCTTTACTAACAACAGATTGTTTTCTATAGTTTGTTCTTGTATAAATTTTATGCAATTTTTTTGAATTTCGCGTGCAATGTTCATGAATGTTAGATTTTTTTATGAAGTATCCATTAAAAATGTCGGGTAAATCATTAGTACAGTTGCAACGGTACATAAATAAGCTGGAAAGGTAATCGTTAATTTTTAAAATATTTAATATTTTATTTTCTTGGGATGAAAAAGCCTCGCTTCTGGAAACGATTGTTAAAACTGGCTTAGATTATGTCCTCCCATTACGAAGGAAAAAGATTAAATTTAACGATCCCCCTGGATGAACCCGACACTAAAGAGCCTTATTATAAATCGTCAAAAAGCTCAGAAGCAGGGAAATATCGAGGAGTTCAAACGTTTGAGGAACCAATCAATCGCCAGAGGAAAATCTGCCGAGCTAAATATTACAAAACCACTGTTCAACATTTGAAACAATGTAAGTCTAATGCTTGGTGGAACGAGGTAAAAAAACTCAGCGGTATGAAAGTAGTTGAGGAAAACTCTGATAAGATTGTGAAAGCCTTAAGACCCAATGATATTTCTTCCTGTACAGTAAAGAAAGTCTTAGCAAACGAGATTAACAATACCTTCTTGTCCCCAATGTCCATCTTCGCACCTCTTTCCTTGGATCTTCATCGTCGTTCCTGCACTGAAAGTGGGCTGACAGACACTGTACTTACCGTGTCGTCCGATGTCGTCTTTGAAAAGCTTTCAAAACTTAATCCAAAAAAATCTGTTGGCCGTGATGGATACCTCCGTGGTTGCTGAAGGAAAATTCCCAGCTTATTAGCCGGTTCGTTAACGGATATCCTCAATTGCTCCTATCGTGAATGTTGCCTTCCCCCTTCATGGAAGGAGGCGGACGTAGTCGCAATTTCAAAAGAAAAATCTATTCAAGATATTAACAATCATTTGCGACCTATCTCACTTACACCAATTTTGTCAAAACTGGCGGAAGACTTCGTTGTGAACCGTTATCTGGTCCTGTTTTATATCATCTGTATTCGTTCATTCCATAACTCGCTGCCGCAGTACCTGTCCGACGACTTAGAAAAACTTCAAAAACGTGCTTTTCGCATAATTTGTCCTGATATGCACTACAAAGATGTCTTGGAGACCAAGAACATTTTGTCACTGAACGATCGAAGACAAAAATTAACAACGAAGTTGTTTAACGAAATAGCCAGCAACTCACATCATAATTTATACGACCTCCTCCCGCCATTAAATTCCGACGATCACTTTTTAAGGAATCATAGAAATTTTGAACTTCCTGTGTGTAAAACGAACAGACTTAATGACAGTTTTATCATGCACAATTCTA